ATATCATGGATGGATGGATAGATGTACAGTATGTTGCTTTAAAGGAATAAAAAGACAGCCATCTTTACACAAGGAAAACTCCTTGTGTACCGCGCTCGCAGTACGCAGACATAAAGTCTGAACTGGCCCTTAGGAGTTCTCCCTCGCACCTCCCTATGTAGCCAGAAAAACAACTTAGTACCTGTCCAAACAGGAATGATATATGCAATAGAAGTGCTTCTACTTTATCGAAGAAACCATCTTTGTCTGAGCGTAAAAAACATAAAGATCTTTTCTACTGGACAACAGAATAGATTTTTATTTTGGCCAACTCTCAGAATTATGTTTTATCTGCATAAACTTATAAGAAGTGGACGTAGTCATCGTGACATCACCCATTAGTTTGTGGACTGACGTTTTGAAGCTTCGAGTTTGGCAATTTAGCCGTTCTTGGAATACGTCCGTTGCCGTGTTGTTTTTTTGCAACCGATGAACAGAAGTTTCCATATTTGGAATGGGGAGGAGTGACATAGAGACGCCGTATACAGCTCTGGTAGCGGCAGCTACCTGTCAATCATAGTAGCCCCGCCCTAAAACATACCCTGCTGCATGGTCTATTTGACTCTAAATGGACCATAGTTTACTAAATGAACATCATGCTGTATTGAAGAAGACTTGAAACTAGAGATTGAGACCATAAACTCATGTTTACAATGTTTACTGAGGTAATAAATCATGAGAGAAGTAGAGTCATTTAGAGTTCTATACAACGTCCCCTGATGGTTAGTAGAAAGAATGCCAGTTTGAAGACACTTCCGCATCGGATTCATTCGTTCTGACGAGGTTGCAGCGTGTTTAGCTGCAGATCAATACATTTTCTGCAAACAGCAGCAAATTGAAAATGAACAATCCAGCTAGTACAAGTTATCACATTATTACAGCAACATGACTAAACAAGACAAGACAACCAGAAGACCATAGATTATGCTTTTTAATTAAAAAAATGATTCATCTCCTACTTCGTTCCTGTAAAAATGTTGTTTAGACTGACGCAATCTCTCCAGAATTTTAACATTTGACTCTGATACAGGGATGTAAAGTAATATGTGATTCATCATCTGGTCTTTTCCTCACGTTGAAAGATACGATTTTAATTCAAGTTGAGCAGAACTGCAGCATAAGGCCTGAACAGGAAATGGAAAATGGGGATGCCCCAGAGGTGGAAGTATCTGCCCCCCCTCCCCTAGTGTCCCTTTCCTCTGAGGCTTCTGAGTGCTGTTGGACTCTAAGTTGAGCCTTGGTGACCCCTTCTGTCTGGATGGTCAGCAGGGCCGTCCCAAGAACCCCAGCTGCATTCTCCAAGATCCAATTAAAAAACAGCCGGTGCTTTGGTGGTCTGGGAGGCAGAAGGAGAGTGTGTCTGCTTCAAGGGTATTTGCAGGTGGGCAATCTACAGGGTGGTTTTCCGTCCCACTGAGAGTCACCCTGCGACGCATACACACACACACACACACTCACTCCTGGTCACTTAGGAAGCAGTCTTCCATGAAGAAGCATCTCTTGCAGGACCAAAAGGTTGTGCAGATCTGTTTTCCTGCCATGAGAAGCATCCATCACAGCAGCCTACAGGTTACAGGCTGCCATCCGTGAGGAGCGGGAGACGTGATGGAAGACCGCTCTATTTTTACCGTTCTGCAGCTCTCCCACACGGCTGTCAATCAGAGTTAATGCCATGATGTTTTTTTCACAACCAATGAACAGAAATTACCATAATTAGAATGCAGATCACAGTAAGCCCGCCCTAAAGCATACCGTGCTATATGGTCTGTTTGACTCTAAATGGACCATCATTTACTAAATGAACATCATGTTGTTTTGAAGAAAACTTAAAACTAGAGATTGAGACCATACACTCATGTTTACAATGTTTAATAACTCAAGTGAGAAGTAGGGTCATTTTCTCATAGACTTCTATACAATCACTTATTTTTGCAACCAGAGGAGTCGCCTCCTGCTGGTCAGTAGAGAGAATGCAAGTTTTAAGACACTTTCGCATCGGGTTCACTTGGCAGAACCAGAGGTTGCTGCCTCAAAACCAGGCAATGAGTCAAAATAGTCAAACGTAACAGACAGGGCAGGCATGTAGCAATCTGAGTATCAGGCAAACGGTCAGGGAGGTAGAAATAAAGGCTGTCTGTGCCAAGTGGCTTATTACAACATTGTTTGTTGAGAAAGTCGGATGACGTATTATAAAAACCATAGTGGATGTAGTCAGCACTTTATCGCTCATTGATTTGGACTACAGTTTTCAGTTCAAGTTCTGCATTTGTTGGTTATTTTGGAACCAAAATGTACACGAGAGGGTGGAGCTAAGTACAACCGAACGCTGAATAAGACAATTTTAATTTCATGAAGTGAAAACATAGTGAAAGGGTTTGAGTTAAAATGTGGAAAACACGGACATCTCCATGACAGGACAACGCCATATAGCAACCTGTCAATCACAAGGTAGCCCCACCCTAAAGACAGTCAAAGATTGTGTAGAGAGGAGGTCGGGTTTGAAGGATGGGTTAAACAAATACTGACTTTTACTCGGGGGGTGTCACGTGTGAAACCAAAAGTCAACGCGTTATATAAGTTCCGTACCTAATTTAACAACGCTATCTACGTAAGGGCTTCACATACATAGGTAACAAAATTTTGCTGCTTAAACATAACTGAAAAATTCTGTTCAGAACGATGAATAAAATGGTCACGTGTCGTTCTGGGAGTTATTCTGTGGTTAAGGTATTCATTCATGTGGCAGAGGAAACTACATACATGTACATGTCTGGCTGGAGTTACAATAACAGCAGTGTTAAAACACAATGCTATGGACACATACTGTGGTGTGAGCCAGCAATGCCTTAAACATTAGGAACAGAATTAGAAAAAGGAAAATTACATTCGTACTATGCATTTTGTAACTAGTGAATAACATAATTCCTAAAAATGTTAGTAGAAATAAATGTTTCTATTTCTAACAACAAACTTTTGACAAGGATATTTTAGTCTTTCTCAAATATAAAAAAACTGGATTGTGTTTCAAATATTTGTATGAAATACTAAAGACATTTTATATAACAGAAACCAAGATAGAAGATCCCTCTTCAGGTGACAAGATCAAGGCTTTGCCGTCTGCTGTGTGTATGAATGTATACAAATATACAGTGGGGCAAAAAAAGTATTTCGTCAGCCACCAATTGGGCAAGTTCTCCCACTTAAAAAGATGAGAGAGGCCTGTAATTTTCATCATAGGTACACTTCAACTATGAGAGACAAAATGAGAAAAAAAAAATCCAGAAAATCACAGTCTGATTTTTAAAGAATTTATTTGCAAATTATGGTGGAAAAAAAGTATTTGGTCAATAACAAAAGTTCATCTCAATACTTTGTTGTATACCCTTTGTTGGCAATGACAGAGGTCAAACGTTTTCTGTAAGTCTTCACAAGCTTTTCACACACTGTTGCTGGTATTTTGGCCCATTCCTCCATGCAGATCTCCTCTAGAGCAGTGATGTTTTGGGCTGTCGCTGGGCAACACGGACTTTCAACTCCCTCCACAGATTTTCTATGGGGTTGAGATCTGGAGACTGGCTAGGCCACACCAGGACCTTGAAATGCTTCTTACGAAGCCACTCCCTCGCTGCCCGGGCGGTGTGTTTGGGATCATTGTCATGCTGAAAGACCCAGCCACGTTTCATCTTCAATGCCCTTGCTGATGGAAGGAGGTTTCCACTCAAAATCTCACGATACATGGCCCCATTCATTCTTTCCTTTACACGGATCAGTCGTCCTGGTCCCCTTGCAGAAAAACAGCCCCAAAGCATGATGTTTCCACCCCATGCTTCACAGTAGGTATGGTGTTCTTTGGATGCAACTCGGCATTCTTTCTCCTCCAAACACGACGAGTTGACTTTTTACCAAAAAGTTCTATTTTGGTTTCATCTGACCATATCACATTTTCCCAATCCTCTTCTGGATCATCCAAATGCTTCAAACTTCAGACGGGCCTGGACATGTACTGGCTTAAGCAGGGGGACACGTCTGGCACTGCAGGATTTGAGTCCCTGGCGGCGTAGTGTGTTACTGATGGTATCCTTTGTTACTTTGGTCCCAGCTCTCTGCAGGTCATTCACTAGGTCCCCCCGTGTGGTTCTGGGATTTTTGTTCACCGTTCTTGTGATCATTTTGACCCCACGGGGTGAGATCTTGCATGGGGCCCCAGATCGAGGGACACTATCAGTGGTCTTGTATGTCTTCCATTTTCTAATAATTGCTCCCACAGTTGATTTCTTCACACCAAGCTGCTTACCTATTGCAGATTCAGTCTTCCCAGCCTGGTGCAGGTCTACAATTTTGTTTCTGGTGTCCTTTGACAGCTCTTTGGTCTTGGCCATAGTGGAGTTTGGAGTGTGACAGTTTGAGGTTGTGGACAGGTGTCTTTTATACTGATGATAAGTTCAAACAGGTGCCATTAATACAGGTAACGAGTGGAGGACAGAGGAGCCTCTTAAAGAAGAAGTTACAGGTCTGTGAGAGCCAGAAATCTTGCTTGTTTGTAGGTGACCAAATACTTATTTTACCGAGGAATTTACCAATTAATTCATTAAAAATCCTACAATGTGATTTCCTGGATTCTTTCCCCCCATTCTGTCTCTCATAGTTGATGTATACCTATGATGAAAATTACAGGCATCTCTCATCTTTTTAAGTGGGAGAACTTGCACAATTGGTGGCTGACTAAATACTTTTTTGCCCCACTGTACTTATGTACTTATGCACAACATACATATTATAAATACATCCTCACACATTTTATGATATGGCCTACAATTAACTTCAACAGGTTTAGATTACGGTGATCCACCTCTCCTGTTTACTATCCAATATCTGTATATAAACACCTATATTTATTTGTAAAACCTATGATGGAGCACAGTGTTTTCCAGTGATTGCAATGATTGTGCTATTACTGATCGTGTATCGCTCTCTCTTCAAGGGGAGTGGGCTGCATTTTCATTGAGATGATCCAAGGAGTGGCTGCCTTTCCAGGGATGAAGGACATCCAGGACCAGCTGGAGAGGATATTCCTGGTGAGTCGCTGGTGCTGCAGTGTCTAAGTGTGTGCACTGTATGTGTACGAGTACAGTATGTGTTCCTACTCTGCAGCCTATACAGCTGTGCTGCTACCTCTCCATTCTTTCAGTCCAACAACAGCAGGATTATGAGTGTTGATAAAGATGTAAATAGAATAACTGAGGTTCAGTGATGATACCTCACTTTGAGGAATACTAATAGTTTTTGGTCATTTTACAAAATAACCCACTTACCTACGAACACACAAATTTTGCCATTAAGAATTGGATAATGTGAAAAGACTTCTACATCTTGACCCTGCTCTGGATGATAATATATCATATTGACACAATCCATCTATTTTATGCTGTATACTAAGAGCACGAGCACGTCAGTCATAATTTAGTTGGGATGAAAACTCACATTGGCTCCCTGTGTTCTGGGAGAAGGAAATAACAGGAGTAAGAGGCCAAACGGCTTTAATATGTTCTTTTAGATAGGTGCTGTGTGGTGGATCTAATTTATGCCGATGTGCAGAGTGGGTCATGTGGTTTTTGAAAAGTAACTGATCCATGTGTAGTGAATTTGGTGTGGTGTTTATTTACCTTAGTAACTTTAGTTACCTATTTTTTTTTATATGGAAATGAGTTTGTTTGTATTGTTCAGTAACTTGCAAAATAGTCTTAAATACCAGCATTAAAGAAAGAACCCTGATAAGATGGTGGACTGTGATCCTGCCTGAAAAGAAATATTTCGCTCACCCCTTTACCCAGGCCTGATTTTTAGCAGGGAAACAGGTTTTGAGAAATATGACTGTACATCATTAATATCACTTTAGAATGCCACATGAAGGAAACAGTCCTAAACAATGCTGATATCACAACTGTATCCAAATCAAGAGTTTACCATGTTCACTCTGATTTGCCTCGTTGTGTTGCGAGCGTTTACTCGACTTGAGAAGAGATTTTTTATTGTTTATTTATCATCAGAAGCAAATGGTTCAGCCCTTCAGGAAGAACCCTTTTTTGACACAAATGCAGCTCACCTCTTTGATTTCTACCTAAGCTGACATGTGGAGTCTCGTGTTTCTGCATGCAGTGCCACTCTAAATGAGATGGAACTCAGGGTTTGCAGCGTAAATGCACACAGAAAAAAATAGTAGGAATTCTATGATGTTTTTGAGTCAACAAGAACCACAGGAACACGGCTTGGGTTCTAGACAGCAGAACAGCACAGTAGCCTTTAAGTAGTTGCATACCGTATAAATATTGTACGTATCTCTGCATTGAATAGTCCTTCAATTGCCCGATCTGCCATCCCCCCCCCCCCCCCCATATCATTTCATCCCCAATCTCTTAATTGAAGCAGAGTGTAGCAGGGCAGACATAATGGATTTATATTCATAGGCTGGAAGGCCCTGAATAATTAATGTAGAAAATTACAGAGATGAGAGTATGAAAGGGTCTGAAGTCAAGTATGGAGACAAAGGATGTTTGGCTTCTGGGCTGAAGGCTAAAGATACGCATCTGAGAGATGGGATGGATTTTTGGATGAAGGGATGAGGTGAGGTGGAGGAAGCCCGGCAGGCAGCAGTTCTCTCACAGAGCACGTAAGCCGAGCAGGAGGAGAGGAAGAAAAATGCTTCTTATCGATTGTCTTTTATGCCGAAAGGGAAAGGCGGGGCTTCCTGCACACATCTGTAAGAGGCTGCAGCCCCTCTCAGGCACAAAGACACACCATGATAGGATAAAGAGGTCCGACAGTGGGATGGCCGCTGGCCAGACTGATGGGGCTCAGCTGCACACTGCTTCCCTACAGAAGCTCTTCAGTTTGGTCCGAAATCTTTAGATTTTTTACGTTCTGGCGCCATCATGGAGGTCCCCTGAATAATTGAATTCTATACAATGAGACTTTGAGGCTAGAGATACATGGAAAACAGTATTGTGTTCTTCCCGCATCTCTTTCCAGAACACTGCTGTGTAACATTTAGGGCCCTTTTTTAACAATGTGCAAGTGCTGCATGACATGTCACTTTTGCCACAAAACAAATTATTCTGTAAGAATCCCCCGCATTCATTTACCTACAATCTGCTTAACCACATTCATACCTATACCTCCGCTCTGGCCGGAGGCTTTATATTTTCCTGTTGTTCATCGGTACATCCATCCATACGTCCCATCAGTACCTCCCTACGTAAGTCTGTTGACATTTGACTTAATCTGTAATTACAGAGATCAGGCTTTTTTTGTGCTTTGAGGAATAAATTCCTCCTTCAGCTCGTTCTCCAGCGGGGACTCCAGCAGCACCCACCGTCTATTTTTCGTAGTGCATAGTAGCTTTAAATATTATAATTTACATTTATTTTTATGTTCAACCCTATCCGTAATTACTGAGATTGTGTTTTTTGTGCTATGAGGAATAAATGCCATCATTTCAGGTGCTGTCACTGTCTTTACCTCTACATAATGTGGTTAGATTTCAGACGTTATATAAACCTAACATCCATTAACACAACATTAACTGAACTTTCTTTCGTATTCCAGCTATATTTATATTTCTTTGTTTATAACATAACTCTGTAATTATATTCCATCACCTAGAAAATACTGATAGGCCTAACTGAGCCTTTGCTATTTCTCATCCAAATCACATTCTGTGTTTGTTAGTTTGTTTCAGCTGTCAGCTAGAAGTAAAATAGATGGATGAATATGGAAATACAGAGGTGTGAGGTTTGCGAGGCAAAGTGTGATCACAGTACCAGCCTACCTGTCAGAGTAAGCCTGATGTTGACATTTCCATCTCTCCTGCCTGCTCTGTGGCCTTGTGTGTGCTGTCAGAATCGGTCAGAGTTTGGATGCACAGCCTCAGAGACTCATGTGAAGGGCACCATCGATGAATTATGTGGAGTCAGAAGCATCTTAAAGGCCATGTTGTTTGAAGAGAGGAAGAGGAAAGGTCAGCCTCCATCACTGTTGGAGAGGCACCCTGCCAGGAGTTGAGTCGGCACATTGAACACAACGTCCTCAGAGCTGGAATGTCACACGGTGGCCTGGGGTTTTTCTCATGTCAGCGGAATGGGCCGTTTGCATTCTTGGGAGAAACAAGAGCTCTTGAAAGGTGCTGTCGCTCATTGCAGGGTCCTTACAGGGACTGTGATAGTATTCAAGGATCATTTATTGTCATTCTGCATCACAGGGTTCCATCCATCCATCCATCCATTATCTTCTGCCTATCAGGGGCAGCAGGCTAAGCAGGGTATTCCAGATATCCAAGGGAGGTGTCCAAGAGGCATCCTGATCAGATGGCCAAACTACCTCATCTGGCCTCTTTCAACACAAAGAAGCGGGGCCTCAACTCTTGAGTTCCCTCTGGATTTCTGATCTCATCCCCCTATCGCTAAGGCATACGGGGGAAGCTCATTTTGGCTGCTTGTATCCACAATCTCGTTCTTTCAGTCACTACCCAAAGCTCATGACCAGAGGTGTGGGTCGGAACGTAGATGGACTGGTAAATCGAGAGCTTTGCCTTCAGGCTCAGCTCCCTCTACACTGCTAACGCTGCACTGTCTGCCAATATAACGCTCCATTTTTACACTCCCTTGTGAGCAAGACCCCGAGACACTTGAAAGCCCTCACTTGGGGCAGTGTCTCACTCAAGACATGGTTGCAAAATGAAATGCATTTGAAACAGAGTCCATTTAAGCTACACAAGAAAAACATGACAAAACAAAAACAGTAGTGCATTAGTGCATTTTTTTATTATTTCCATCAGGAGCAATGTAAACAGCAATGTAAAAATTCATCATCAGGAAGACATTGTCCATCAAGTCTGACTGTGTTTGAGCAAACACGCCTCCTCTTGTCCCACCCGAGTCCTGCTTTCTGTCCTGTAGTCCAACTGCCAAGTGCAGCTTGATCCGGGATGCCAAGATGGAGCCAGGTCTCTGTAAAGATGGAGGCTTAACAGTGACTGACCTCCCATCACTGGGTTCGCCTGAAGTCATAGCTCGTCCATCTTATTTTTCTGTGACCAGACATCAGACAGACAGGTGTAAGCTGGGTAGAGTACTAGCCTTGGTTCCTAGCTGGGTCAGCTTAGCTTCCATCCTCCCTCTCCTGGGCCAGTGGTTTTTGGTGGCGTTTGGTCCGGCAGGTCTGGCTGGATTGTTGGAAGATGCCATGGTGATCACTCTAGCTGCACTTAATCCATTCCCAACACGTTCTTTTCAGAATTTGAAAAGTTTACTCTGTAATATACCATAAGCGCTCCAGAAATAAAGACGAAAATACAACAAACAAAAACAAAAATGTAGCAGAGTTCATGGGGAGCTACGAGCCGCTGCATTGACATGACAATGCTTAAAGTGTGATGAGCAGTCAGACAATTAAACAGTTGTACACAAACAAAGAAACTAAAATTTGACGTATTTGGAAGAGAAAACGGTAAAATGATAACCCAAGCATCCATCACAGCGTACTGGTTCAACTTTGTCCTGCTATACTTCCAGTAGCATTTTTTTCTTCTGTGCAATATGGGACTTTTACCAACATTATAGAGACACTCACTTCCATACTTCTCTTTAAGTGCTAGCTAACCTGGTTTCACTGTGTTTGTTCTCAATCTGTCTGATCATCTGACAGATGGCGTTTCTTTCCTCCTCATTGTTGAGATGCAGCTGTGTTTGTCAGATTCATCAATATCTTAATCCACAGAACAATTACAAAAATAGTAAACTGGAATTGGTCTTTAACGGGAGGAGTCCGTTGATTCATTTTCGTACTTCTATTAATTATTTGTACTATTTGTATTATTTGTTATTAGTACAACAGTTACAACAGAGGGGACGTGAAGCACATGAGCTTTTGCTACAAGATGGATTTCTGAGTATTTGTTCACAAGAGGTCCCTTCTCCTGTCTTTGAATTTATTGAAGTGCAAATAAAAGGCCAGTGTGTAGGATTTAGGATATCTAGCGTTGACTTTGCAGATTGCAACCAAATGAAACTTCTCCAGTGTG